TGCTCGTTTCGGGGACCTTCCTGGAGCCCACCCAAGGGATCTGTTCGACTCAGGTTCGACTCAAGTTCGACTGAGGTTCGACTCAGATTCGACTCAGGTTCGACTCAGGTTCGACTCAGGTTCGACGCAGGTTCGACTCAGGTTCGACTCAGGTTCGACGCAGCTTCGACGCACGAGTGGAGCGAGTGGCTCCAGGAAGGTCCCCAGAATGAGCATGCAAGGATCAGGGCGAGGGTTACGACATCTGCTGCGTGCAGCTGGTTTCCGCCCCGCCGCTGGGCCCATGCCTCAACACGCTGGCGCCTCCCGGCGCCGGGAGGCGCCAGGAGAACCAGCTACGTGAGCAAATTAGATACCCTGCCCTTAGCTATCCTGCCCTTTCGCCCCCCCCCCCCCCCAATAAAAAAGGTCGGGACCTTCTTCCCAGGATCAAGCCTTCTCAGAGGCCCCTGGGGACTTCATCAAGAAGGCCTCTGCCTTCGAAGAGGCCCGCCTGCCTTCTCAGAAGGCCCCCCTCGCGCCACGATCTTGTGCGCGCCGCCAGCTGCTCTGATTCAGGCGGCGCAACAAGTACAGTCAGCCCGCACAGTGAGGATGAGCGACTTTCCAGGGCTACCCTTGCATCATTTTCCATTCGGCCCAGCCTTGGTAACTTTCTCTGGTGGTATCCTGACGAAGAACCCAGCCGGTTCTGAACACAGTGCGCCTGTAAGGAGGACCGCTGAATACATAAGGACACAATCACCCCACGAGGCGTGTGAGGGGAGCGCCGAAATTGAGCGGGGCGCCATGCGGACCCAGCCACTGAAGCCTTGTGGCGCTCCCCATGCTGCCGCGAAGCGTGTGAGGAGTGTGCCGAAATGGGACGATGCACCATTCGGGCCACTGGGGCATTCGATGGGGCTTCCTCTGAGGCCATGAAGCGTGTGAGGGGTGTGCCGAAACAGGGCTGGGCATCATGCGAACGCAGGCGCTGGTGCCTTGAGTGGCGCTCCCTATGGGGCCACGAAGCAGGTGAGGGGCGTGCCGAACTGGGCGAGTCACCATATGGACCCTGTCACTGGTGCCTTCTGTGGAGCCCCCTGTGGGACCACGAATCGCGTAAGAGGTGCGCCGGCACAGGGCGAGTCACCATGCGGGCCTTGCCTCTTGGGCCTTCGGTTGAGTTCCTTACGCGGTAGCGTGCAAGGAATGCGCCAGACGAGGTTTGGGTGGCGCCACGAGGCCGCAGCCACTGGAACCGTCAGAGTAGGTCCATACGGGGCCACGAGGCGTTGAGGGGGTGTACCAGAAGGGGCCCGAGTCGCCATGCGTGCGCAGCCACCGGGGCCTTCGTTGGATCCCGATGGGGCCGCGAAGCGTGTGAGGGGCGTGCCGGAACGGGTATTCGCAATGCAGAGCAAGGATGATGGTGATGATGATGATGATGATGATGATGATGATGATGATGATGATGATGATGATGATGATGATGATGATGACGATGACGATGACGATGACGATCATGAGCAGGAGGAGGAGGAGGAGGAGGATGAGGTATGAGGGGTGATGGATGAGGGATGCTGATGATGATGATGATGATGAGGAGGAGGAGGAGGAGGAGGAGGAGGAGGAGGAGGAGGAGTAGGAGGAGGAAGAGGGGGAGGAGGAGGACAAGAAGGAGGAGGAGGAGGAGGAGGAGGTGGAGAGGGAGGGAGACGGGGAGGTGGAGGGGGGGGGAGGAGGAAGGAAGCAAGGAGGGAGGAGGAAGGAGACGCGCGGCGCTGCGGATTCACAACAAGGATTCCACTCGCAGGAGCGTTAGGCAAAAACGCGACGGCCACTTGCTGTACGTGTTCGGCCTCTCAGGTCGTTTCCTGGCCCTGGGACCGTCCAAAGGGTGCTCAGGATGAGAAGCCAGTTCTGGGGAAACGGTCGAGATCCCTTGAGGCCCGTGTCACGAACAAGATGCGACGTCGGATGAGAGCGTACAGTGGGGGGGCGCATCAAGAAACCATATGGTTTTCGTTGGGGTATCCTGGGTTTCTTCGCTCCGCGCGCTGCGCGGTGACTTCCCGCAGCCGTTGAAGAAGCTGCTGCGTTCAGGGTGCTCCAGTTTCCCCTCAGGTGTACCTTGCGCGCGGGTTTTCAGGGTTGGGTTTCTTGCGAGGGTTTCTTGCGGCCGCGCCCGCACTGTACGGGAGGGGGGGGGGCTTCTGAAAAGGCGGGGGGGCTTCCTGGAAGGGGCCCCCGACTTCTGAGGAGCCCTTTGAACCAGAGGCCTCGGGCTGCCTCGGGGCCTCCTGGAAAAGGGCTCCCGTCCTGTGCGAAGCACTGGGCAGTCAGTTGTGCGGAGGTGGAAGCCCCGCTCACCCGCCCTCATGCGCATGACACCGCCCGCCTTGAGGCCGCGGCATCTGTCTGCGAGCGTGGCTCACCTGGAAGGCCTGGCAGCGCTCCGAGCCCGCACAGCGGAGAAGGAAACGCGGCAGCAGGCTGCGAGGGGAGGAGGAGGAGGAGGAGGAGGAGGAGGAGGAGGAGGAGGAGGACCAGGAGGAGGTGGAGGAGGACGAGGAGAAGGAGGAGGAGGAGGAGGAGGAGGGAGGAAGAGAGGAGGAGGAGGCGAGGAGGAGGAGGAGGAGGAGAGCGGAGGAAGGAGGAGGAGGAGGGAGAGGAGGAGGAGGAGGAGGAGGAGAGGAGGACAAGGAGGAGTGAGGAGAAGGAGGAGGAGGAGGAGGAAAGAGGAGGGAGGAGAGGAGGGAGGAGGAGGAGAGGAGGAGGAGAGGAGGAGGAGGAGGAGGAGGAGGAGGAGGAGGAGGGAGGAGGAGAGGAGGAGGAGGAGGAGGAGGAGGAGGAGGAGGAGAGGAGGAGGGGGAGTTGGAGGAGGAGAAGGAGGAGGAGGAGGAGGAGGAGGAGGAGGAGAAGGGGGGGTCCTGGAGGAACTGGCTGGGCCAACGGTGGCCACATCAAGAGGCGCAGCACCCTTGCCTTCCCGAGACGGCCGCCCCACCCCCCCCCAGCCCGGGGCAGCCGAGAGGCTCGCCACTCCCAGCTCCAAGGGAGACCCAGGGCCCCAGGAGACTTCCGTCCCTGTCCACACCGCGGCGCCGCCTGCCCAATAACAGGCGGCGTGCGCGCCTCTCGCTGGCTCAGTCCGGGCCCTCGCTGGAGGGCGCTCTCGCTCCTTACTTTCAGTCCAGGAGGACGAGGGATGAGGAAAGGAGGGAAAAAAGGGGGCAGAGAGCAGGAATGAGCTGGAATATTCCAAACCCCTTATTAATCGTCCCCCGGGTCTGGTTTTATAAGGCGCTTTTTTTATCTGGGGGTCCGGCTTATTAGGGCGCTTTCTTTGGATTGGAGCTCAGGGGGTCCGCTTTATCAAGGCGCCCCGTCGAAGAGGGGGGTCCAGAAAATTAGGTCGGTCGCATTTGGAGGGGGGTCTGTTTTTTTTTTTGGGGGGGGGGGAGGGGGGCGATTCATAAGGGATTTGGGGTACCGGGGGAGGCCGGCGCGCCGCGGGTTGTGAGCCATCCCCCGCCACCCCACCCCGCGTGCGCCGCCAGAGGCGGGAGCCGCCCGGGTGGCCCGGACGCCCCTCCCGGCCAGCCCGGCGCCGCACGGGGACCCGGCGCCGCCGAGCGCGCGCGCGCGCCCAGACGCCGTGGTGACCGCACCGCGTGGCGAGTCAGTCCCAGACCTGCTCGGCGCCGTGGAGAACTCACTCGGCGGTTGTCGGCCTCCAGGGGTTCTCGGCGGGCCCTGGGACCGTCAACAGAGCGGCTCGGGAGACGAGAAGCTGGACCCGGGGGGAAAGGGTTGGGACGTCCAGAGGCCCCGCACCGAACAAGAGTGAAGACATCGCACGCTTGGCTTCCAGGCCTCCCTAAGGGGATCCGAGCCGATAGGGTCGGAGGATCGCTTCGGGTTCACCGCACGGTTTCGCGACTCGGGCCGTTCTTCGAGGACGTCTCGGGCCATTGGGCTGAAGTCGGGCGTGTCCCTGTACAGGGGGAATATTCCCAAATAGTAAAAAAACAGTCAGGGGATGTTTTTCTTGTTTTCTCTACTACCCTTGGCCCTTTGGGGGCATTTTTTTGGAGCACCTTTTATTTTTCCTCGAACATTGGCCTGTAGGGGGACAGGCCCGACCTAACACTGGGCCGCCGGGGTCCCAGCACCGTGCGGTGACGCCACCGGCGCTGTGAGGCCGCTGCGGCTGCCGAGGCCGCCGCGCGGCGCGCCACCACGCGGCCTCGGGGGGAGGGGGGGGCCTGGAGGGGGCGGAGCGCGCGCGCGCGCGCCCTGCTCGCCTCCCCTCTGCCTCCGCTCCCGCGCGCCTCCGCCTTGGCACCGCTCGGGCGTGTGCATCTGTCCCCCGGCGAGGACCCTCGAGGAGCCTCCTGGATCTTCGTGGCCAGAAAAAGCACGCGCGAAGCCGAGACATGCCCGGGGAAGGGTTCGTCCGAGCGACGGCAAGCCGTGCCTCCGCGCCTCCTCCGCCGCCGGCGTCGGTGTCGGCGGCGTCGCCGTCGCCGTCGCCGTCGCCGTCGCCGGCGGGGTCGCCGGGGCAAGCAGCGGCTGCCGCGCCCTGGCCGCCGCGCCCTGGCAGCCGCTGCTGCGGCGCGGCCCCGCGCCACCGCCGCAGGACCCCGACGTCCCGGGACCATCTTGGCTCTGATACGCCCGTGCTGAAGCACAACACGTGCCTCCCTTTCCTCCTCCTCTCCTCTTTCTCCACCCACTCCTCCTCCTGGGTCGAACGCGCCCTTATCTGATCCTACTCCTCCGCCGCCTCCTCCTCCGCCTCCGCCTCCTCCTCCTCCTCCGCCTCCTCCTCCTCCGCCTCCTCCTCCTCCTCCGCCTTCTCCTCGTCCTCATCCTCCTCCGCCTCCCCCTCTTCATCCTTCTCCTCCTCTTCATCCTCCTCCTTCTCCTCCTCCTCCTCCTCCTCCTCCTCCCTTTCCTCCTCTTCCCTCCGGCGCTGGCACGGAGAACCCTTGGCCAGAGCAGGGCGTGACTGCAGCTGCTGGAGGCTCAGGCCGCTGCGGCAGCGTCGCCCGAGGCGGGGCCGCGCGAGGGTCCAGAGAGCCACTTCCTGGGGCCTGAGCCTCGAGCGCAGAGAGGGGGGCGTCGATGGCCCCCCTCTCCACCTTCTCTTCCTCCTCCTCTCCTTCCTCCTGCTCCTCCTCCTCCTCCTCCTCCTCCTCCTCCTCCTCCCTTTCCTCCTCTTCCCCTCCTTCTCCTTCTCCTCCTCCTCCCTTTCACCTCCTCCTCCTCCTCCCGTTCGTCCTTCCCTTCCTCCTCCTCCTCCTCCTCCTCCTTTTCTTCCTCCCCCTCCGTTTCCTTGGCCTCCCTTGGCCTCCTCCTCCTGGTCTTCCTGGTCTTTCTGCAAAGACATGAACACTACTCTCCTCTCTCCCCCCTGAAGATGGCCTGGAGTGGCCCATCCTCCTCAGTGCAGGTTTTTATCACACAGGATGTCATGCTTCAGTATGTCATATGTGCTTTCCACCGGATCGCTCTCGTTGTCTCAAAACCTCAACGGTGCTGCCGCCGCAGCGTGGGCCTTGTTTAGGATCGACGCTTTGTTTCCGTCGTTCTACGTGGCACCCTCGCCCAATCGTGAGTCACCATTCTTTGGATCCCAGTCTTTCCCCATCGTTGTCGTCCCGCTCCTTTCCCCTCCTCCGTCTTCCCACGGGTCGTTGTCGTCCTTCTCCTTTCCCCTCCTCCGTCTTCCCATGGTCCTGCTGCCCCCCCGCTCCTTCACTCCAGCTCCTGCTGCTGCGGCCTGTCCTCGTCCTCTTCGCTCCCGCTGGGGAGGGGGGTCGGCTGCGCGGCTCCCCGAGAAGTCGTGCTCGTGCAGCGCTTCCTCGCTCCGCTCCCTCGCTCTCCGCTTCCATCGTCCCCCTCTTCCCTCCCCTCCCCCCCCTCCCCAGATCGTTGGCAACTCCTCCCCCCCTCTCTTCTGCCCTCCCCCCCTCCCCTCCCCTCCTTCCCTCCTTCACCTTCCCTTCTTCCCTCCCCTCCTGCCCCCTCCTCCCCCCTCCCCCTCGGTTGCGATCGATAGCGAGCGATCGGCACTCCAAATCGGTCACGACCTGTCGCTGCCGATTCCAGAATCGGCCGCGACAGGTCGCGAGCAATCGCGATCTGTCGGTCGCGACCGACTTGCTTCAAAAGTGGTCGCGACCGATGCCGCATTCTGCACCAAGATCGGCAGCGACCGATCTCGTCGATCGCGACCTGAAAAATCGGGTACGGTAAGTTCGTGCGGCGTTGGCGTGCCAGCGACGCTGGCGAAGGCGTTCAAGGTTAAATTCTGCGACGCGGAAGCACCGATGGGCACGGTAATGCAATTGGACAAGATTGAATTGAACCTTGAACGATCGAGGTCGCGATCAATTCAAGGTTGAACGATCGACGCGGTGTCAAGAACCTTTGCGCGCGCCGACGCCTCGCGAACCTATTGTATCTAAGGATCCGGTCCGGTGTTTTAAGGCGCCTTTTTTGTAACTGGGGGGGGGGGTCCAATCTATTAGGGCACTTTCTTTGGATTGGAGCTTAGGGGGTCTGGTTTATCAAGGCGCCCCGTCGAGCTCTCTCGCCCCGGCTCCGCTCCAGGCGCCGCTCCTTCCAGAGGCTCGCTTTTTTCGTCCTCAGCCTTAGGTCGGGCGTGTCCTCCTACAGGGGGATTTTGGAGGAAAAGTAAAAAACGACAAATGTGCCGAACTGGTCACAAATAGTCAGACCATCGTCCCCAGGCTATGCCTGGACTGCTCTGGAATACTCCCCCTGTAGAGGGACGGGCCCGACTGAAACCGTTGCCGCCGCTCGCTCCGCCTGCTCTCGCCGCGGCTCCGCTCCCGCGCCGCTGCTTCCAGAGGCTCGCTCTCTTCTTCCTCGGCCCCTGCCTTTTGGGTTGGCTTTTTCATGCTTTTGTTTGCTCCCAGAGGCTCGTTTATTTGGGGCTTCCAGGGGCTCGCTTGTTAGGCTTGTTTTTTCACCCCCTGGCTTTTTGTTGGCTTCCAGGGGCTCGCTTTTTTCACCTTTTTTGCTCGTCCTCGCCTCGCCCCTCTTTGCTCCCAGAGGCTCGTTTTTTCGTTGGCTTCCAGGGGCTCGCTTGTTGCGCTTGGTTTCAGCCCCTGGCTTTTTGTTGGCTTCCAGAGGCTCGCTGTTTCGCTTTTTCTGCTCGTCCTCGCCTCGCCCGGGGCCTCCGTGCCACGCGCGCCCGCAGGCCCGCTGCCGCCGCTCCTCCCGGGGCTGGGCCCCCCCCCCCGCGGCCCCACGGCCCGCGCGCTGCACCAGCCAGGGACTGACTTGCCTTCAGCCGGGCCCGGTCCTCTGCAGGGGGAGTATTCAAGAGTAGTCCAGACCGTAGCGGGCCCTGGAAACGACATGGCCGCTTTTGTTACCGGTTCCGTTTTGCCGTTTTTGTTGCTGGTTCCGACGCCGTTTTTTGACCGGTTCTGTCGCCGTTTTTTGACCGGTTCCGGCTCCGGTTCCAATCCTGGAGCCGTTTTTTTTGCCGTTTCCGGTCGCCGTTTTTTTGCCGTTTCCATTTTCAAGGGACATTTTTTTGGAAACGGTGAAAACGGCCCTGCCGTTTCCGGGGCCCACAAAGGTCCAGACACATCGTCTGGGGACGATTTTTGGATTATTTGTGACCATTCTATGCATTTGTTGTTCGACTATGATTGATGTTTCCTCCAAAGAGACTTGCCTCGCCGAGCCCCCGGCCCCTGCGCTGCGCCCTCCCGCCCCCCCCCCCTACCCCCCGAGGCGCACCGCCGCGCGCATCCCAGGCCAGCACTGCGGTGCATCGCCCGGCAGGGTGACCGCGCACTGCACCCCCAAAGCTCGCTCGCTGCCGCGACGGGCCCTGGCTGCCACTCCCGCCGAGGCACCACGCCGCTGCCCTGCGCCATCCCAGAGCTCGCTGTCGCCGCAAATCTCGCCTGGCCCTCTGCCCGCTGTCTGCGCCCCCCACCTGCGTAGCCTCGTGCCGCTTGCCAGGTGCGCTGCGCTCTGATGGACTCTGAGGTCCTGGCTTTTCACTTTTTTCGAGCCGGGCGTTGTCGCCTTTATTCGGGCCCTGGGACCCTCACAGATCGATCTGGTTCGAAGCATGACGCAGGACGATGGGGTCTAGAGCTCATGGCGTGATTTTCTACGACGTTGCACTTTTTCCCTACGTCGGACCTCAGGGGGTGCCTCCGCCGAGGGAACCCGTGGAGCAGGTGTTCTGTGGAGCCCACGCTCCTGCATCGTGCGCCCTGCTCCAGGGGCTGTCTCTTGCGAGGTCGCGCCGCCCTCGCGCGAGGCGCCCCGGTGGGACGCCCCGCCCCGCCATAAGTTGATATCCAGTCCTGCTTGACGGTGCAATGGCGCACTGGGATCCCTTCCGGACGAAGCCCCTGAAGCGCATCAGCTCGGAGCGCAAGGGTCTCGCAGGGCCTCGTGCCGCCGGCCCGGCGTCGCTCGACGACCTCGACGACGCGCAGACGCCGGTGATGGCCAGAACCCTCAGCGCCGAGCTCAACACGACCTGGTCACGGAACGTGACCAGCGCGTCCGAGAAGATGGAGATTTGGTGCGCTTGAATGTAGGGCAGCACCAGTCGGGGGCAAGGATAGGGGGGGATAGGGATAGGGGGGCGTACAGTGACCCCCCATCTCCCGTTGACCGCCGATAGGGGGCCGACAGCCCCGCCCCGCCCAGGAACGTGGGGATTCGCTATCGGGGGCCTATCGCCGATCTATCGGCGATGTATCGCCGATTCCAGGTCGCTGTTTCCCCCCCTATGCCTATCACCCCTTGTCGTTGCCCCTCAACTAAGTAGTAGGATAAGTAATCGCATCATGCTTTGCCCTTGTTGGACGGGCGTGCTTTCGCTCGCAAGCTTGGCGCTGGCTGTTTTGATTGTGTCTGCAACCTGCCCAGCAGTAATCGCTGTCGATTTCGGGCAGCATCTGCTGCTTGGCATAACCCCCGACGGTATTGTACCAACTTCTGGGGTGTCCAGGACAAGACGTTGAGCATCTGGGATCTGATCGGGTTCGAGATCGGGAGCATCATCGGGCCAGGCATATTCGTGACCACGGGGCTGGCCGCAAAGGACCACGCAGGGCCCGCGATCGCCCTGTCTTTCATATGCGCAGCTGGTCTCTGTGTCTGCGCAGGGCTGGTTTACTGTGAGTTCGGAGCACGCATACCTTCGGCCGGTGGTGCGTACGCGTACGCGTACAACACCCTCGGAGAATTGCCCGCTTTTGTGGTTGCTGCTCTGATGTCCCTTCAATATTTCGGGGTTGCATCGGGCGGCTGCAGGGCAGCGGCCAACTACATTGTTCATTTCTTCGAGTCGGTCGGACTACCTTTGCCTGGCGTTTTCCTGGATGTGCAAATCTCTCCTGCGATCAACATCAGCTTGTTGGCCCCCCTCCAGTCAATATGGTTGACCATGGTGATCTTGAGGGGCACCAATATGTCGACAGCGTTTGGGAACACCGTGGCAACGGCTAATGTCATAATGATCACTATCTGGGAGGCTTTGTCCTCGGTCACCGCCCCCCTTCCCTCGAAGTGACGAACATATCGTTCATGCTTAGCTTAGGGTGGCGGAGGACAGAAAAGCCTTGGTCTTCGCAGCCTGGTGGCCCCGCTTGGTGGCCCAGCGAATTTTCATTGTTGTGGGTCTCATGCACTCCGACACAAGTAATTGGACTGACGACTTCTGCCCCAATGGTGCTTCCGGCGTGCTGTCAGGCAGGCCTGTGATGTAGAGGAGGAGGCGGGGAGGCGGGGAGGAGGAGGAGGAGGAGGAGGAGGAGGAGGAGGAGGAGGAGGAGGAGGAGGAGGAGGAGGAGTGGAGGAGGGAAGGAGGTGGTGCTTGGTGTTGTCAGGCGCGTCTGTGATTTTCTACGCATTCAACGGGTTCGACGCCGTGGGAACGTTGGCAGAGGAGATTCCGAACCCAGAGAAGCTAGTTCCCAGGGGCTTATTGGGAGCATTGGCGATCGTCACGGTTGCCTACATTGGTATCGGCTTCGCCTTGACTGGAATGGTGAAGTACAGCGAGCTTGACGATGTGGCTCCTTTCGCTCACGCGTTCGTGGTGAAGAAGGTCGCCTGGGCATTCTACATGATCACTTTTTCAGCAGTGCTCAACTGTTGGGCCAGCTCCTTCGCATCCATAATGGCACAGCCCCGCTTGCTATATGCCGTTGCAAAGGACGGGCTCATCCCAGAATTGTTCAAGAAGCTTGACCCTGTCACCAAGACGCCGATCAAGGGAACTATCATCGTTGGTGGACTCACTGCATTCTGCTCAGGATTCCTGGACTTCTCCACTCTCTCTATGACAGTATCGTTCGGGATTCTGTTTGTGTACGTCTTCGTTGGTGTGGGGCTGCTACGAATTCGGTACGCAAGCTTGCTTAAGGCAAATCCAGCGGATGAGGCCAAGTTCAGTTTTGCATTGCCTGCGTACACGATCAGCATGTTCTTCGGCTCGCTGGCATATCATCAGGGATATGCCATGGTTGCGTGGGTATGCGGAGCTATCGTGGCCGTGACCTTTGGGTTGTTCGTCCTCATTTGGATGCGGCACGGCGACGGTGACAAGAGCGGAGCCCAGTTCCTGTGTCCATGCATACCTTTCGTGCCATTGATATCGATCGCCGCCAATACGCATGTGGCATTGTCGCTTGGTCTCCCGCCACTGGTCAACGTTGTCGTGTACGTGCTGCTGTGCTCTCTGCTGTACATCTCGTACGGCTCCTCGCACTCCAAGCTGGCGACGAGGCAGCGGAGGGGACTGCGCGCGCCCCTGAACGGCAATGGGGAGAGCGGCAGGGCAGAGTGAGGTTGAGATGCAGAGTGCAGGCCGGCGCCGCGTGGCCCACCGGAGCCCGGCCCTCGGCGCCTGGTCCAGTGGCCCACTCCGCCCGGAAGCTGGTCCGCCTCGCAGCAGCGCCGTGACCGATCACACGCACGAGCGACCCTTTGCCGGAGTGAGCTTCGGTGCGGGCTCACCGGGCCCCCCCCCGATCGCTGGGCGCGGTGCGACAGCGACTGCTTGCGCGCTTGGAGTTGGCCACCTTGCGCCCCCTCGGTCCGCGCAGCAAAGGTCACCCCTTGCCCAAGGTCGCTCTTGCGTGTAGCCCACGTGAGCGAACTGTCGGGTGAGAAATGCAAGCCCACGACAGTGCAGCACGTACTGCCCACAGGCAAAATCTAGTATTGTAATCAATTCTGCGGACAGGCGCGGAGCCCCCTGCCTGTGGAATTCGAACATGGTCCGCCCGCGCCGACAGCTCCACCGCACTTTTTTTGCAAGGGGCCGAAGGGTGGGAAGACTTGGGCTGCTGATGTGAGGAACTTTATGCAGCTCCACATGGGGGTGGCTGACATGGGGGGTCGGGTGGGCGACCGGCCGCCGCTGTCGCAGGCCAAATGGCGCTCGAAGCATTACCAAACCGCTCTCGGGTTCCGACTTATAATTCAATGTGCTCGAGCTTTTTATTTCTTCAATTTCTCTCAATTCGTTTCAATTTCTCCCAGTTGGACCTGGCGGCGCGCTCAACTTTCGTCCCCCCCGTTGGCGCCAACCCCATGTGGAGCTGAGGGAGAAGTGTGGTGAACGCAGTGCTCAGTGTCCTCATCCGCCTGTCTCTTCTGGTTCCTCCTCACCTCGTGTCCCTGCTGCTGCTGCTGCTCCTCTGCCTCCTCCGCCTCGTCCCCCGCCAAATCTGTCCGTCTCCTTCTCTCCGGCTTTTTCCTTCATAGCTTTTCGTGAGTGTCTTCACACAGGTAAAGAGGATAATTGAGGAGTCTCACAGGGGGTCGGGTAGCCTGAGACCGCCTTGTCCCGAGGCGGTCCAGCAGCCATTTCGCTTGAGCATTCATCACAATTCATTCCGGAATCGTGGTTTCGCTTCAACGCCGACTGCATGTTTGGTCCGGACGGCCACTTCTCTTTGTAAAGTATACATTACGGTGCGCATGGCCGTGCTCTTACCCCTATCCCCTATAGTCGACTTCCTACTCCTCGACCCGCCTCTTCACCTTTGCTATGTTGTTAATCGAATGCTTTGATGTTGTAATGGTATCGTCATTGTCCTGGTGACTGGGGCGCAAGCTTTAGTCAGAGTATGGTCGGTGCTGTCGTAGATTTGGTTGTTCGAGGCGGGCCGGCGATGCGACATAATTTTCGAGAGTTACGAGCGAGAGAAGGGGGAGGAGAGATACGAGAGGGGGGGTTGGGGAGAAGGGAGAGGCGCAAAACATTTCCGCCGAGCGCGACCCAGCCCGGATCAGCGCTTCGGCTTCCTCTAACAAACCCCAGTCGGTACGGAGGGTTTCACATTGAAGTGGTCAGCAGTTCAACTGGTCCCATGTTCCGTCCCGTCCAGCCTTTAGGCCCACAGGCTGCAGAGCCATCGTATAGCACCGCCACGTCACCTTCGCGTTCCTGCCTGACATCGCCGAGTCGATTGCGCCCGACCAGCACATCCACAGATGCAGGGGGAGGCTTGATTCCCTCAGGCAGAGGCGCTGGCGCAGGTGTGATTGTTGCTCACGCACCAAACGAGGGGCCCCAACCTTAGCACAGAGTTCAGCGGCACGAGCCACGCCGACCAGGCCGTCATCGTTTGTTATGGCCATGCCACGAAGATGGAACGCAACGGCCGCTTTGGACCACTAGATCCACTCCTTCGCAACAATGATAGCGAGCTGCCTTTGCTGCGCGCCACAGAGTACCCGCGAGGGATCGTCACGCAGCACTTGTTTTCGCGCATGCGACGACTCGCAAGCCCACTCGCGCGCCACAAACGAATTACAACCTACAGCCCGCATCGCGAAGGTCGGCACGCTCCTCTTTTTTTCGAATGGCGAGTATGCAACCAGCTATGTATACCCGCAGGACGAAACGTACCCCCTGGAGCCGCACACGGGACATGGCACATATTTAGACAGCGCGAAAACCAAACACATTGGCATCTTGCCCTTTGCCTTCGTCACCGACGCCGAGGCAGAATGCCTCCCCCAGTGCAACATCATCAATCAAGGGCTTAGGAAACGCCCCTACCCTGGTTTACGAGGCGCTGTGCGCTGAAACTCCTGTGGGCTGACAGGGTAAACCCTGCGTGATGTGCGGCGTCCTGGCGTCCTCTAGGTTTTGGGGGTTCCCAGGAGGCTTACAGACCACGCATTGTAACCCAGGGTAGGGTCGTTTTTTTTTCATCCCCCAAATCAAAGAATGCCTTCCCCTCGGAGATGGAATCCTCCCATACGGGTTCCGAACGTCCACCGCCATCAATAGGATACGCCCGACATGTTGCTATGTTTCCTGTGCCGCCATGCCAAGTGCAAGAAGCGGCGGCCACAACGCCCATCCAGGGAGCTTTTCCATTGGACCGAGGCAGTTCCCGAAATCGATCGATCGTTACCCCAGCATGCCCAAGCACCCGAAGTAAGACCGAACCAGACAAGACCTCACACACACACACAGCTGAATCTTGCCAGTCGGCTTCGGTCCAATCATATCCAGCACGGGCAGGTGCTCATACGCGAACGCCGACCATGTTGGTGCACCGTGCCACGTGTCCCAGCTGGCTATACCCCCCCGCCTCCCCAGCCGACGCTGTTCCAGGGTTCAGCCCACCACTAACAAAATAATCTCCGCCACAGTGCATGTCGTCGCCGACTACTGGTGTCCCACAACTTGGCGGCGAGCGAGGGGGGGAAGTGACACGGAGAAGGCCTTCTCAGAAGGCGGCGGGACTTCTCAGAAGCCCTCGCTCCTTCTGAGAAGTTTTCTGTGTTTTCGGGAAAAGCTTAGAACATTTCTCAGAAGGCAGGGGGACTTCTGAGATTTCTGGGAGGGCCTTCTCTTTCGCACTTCCCCCTTGGGCTCGCCGCCGAACAACCGCTCCAATGACCAGCGCAGACTGGTGTCGCTTGTCCAGTGACCAGACACATCACGCAGGCATGCCCCATCGGGAGGGGCATCCGTCAACTGGCCGCCCCCCGAGGCTGAACTCCACGGCGCAGCGCCGACAGCAACCGATATCAGCGCTCCAGCGCTCGCACCTCGAGGGCGGCAGACAGCCCACGCTCGAGCCGCTTGCTGCAGTTCTGCAATTCCGCATTCCCTTGCGCTCCGGGAGCAGAGGTTCCGCTGCCTCCGCAGCCAGGGCCTCGAGCAGCCCCACGGCAGCACCTCCGAGGAGGTTATCCAGAGCTTGGCTGGTTGCAGGCAGTGGCCCACCGGGGCAGCAGGCTCCATCGCCGTTCCGTCCACCTCCGACCGCTCTGGGAGTCCAGTCCGCGTCGCGACTCTCTTCCCGTCCCTGCACGAGCGGAGGGGGGAGGGACGGGGGGCAGCAGGGAGAAGGATGTTGGAAGGACAGGAGGGGAGCGCGTGAGGTGGGGAATGGAGTGAGCAAGGATGGAGGAGAGGGAAGAGGAGGATGCGGAGGAAGAGAGAGGGAAGGGGGAGGGAGGAGGAGGAGGAGGAGGACACATGCGGGGGTGTCTGGACTTGCGTCCGGCGTTCCGCAGTTCTTTTTCGCTGCGTTCAGCAGCCCTCTTCGTCAGTGCCATGCGCGACCAAACATCGCGGGCGTCTTCAGGAGGTGTGGAGTGTCGCTTTCACCAGTCGCTCCCTTCCGTCCTCCTCGCCCTCCACTCCACCTGACACGTCACTCCTCCATCCTCCCTCTTCCCCCTTGAGCTCTCGCGGCGTTGGGTGGCTTCTGGAGGCTCTAGGGGTTCTAGGAGTGCCATGTGCCTCCCTCTGCCTCCTCCTTCCTTCCTCCTTCTTCCCTCCGTACTCCTCCCCCTTTCCCCGTTGCCATCCCCCTCCCCTCCGCTTGTGTAAGGTCGCATGTGATGCGAGAGCGAGGCATCGCACGCGCCCCAATGGCACTTGCCTCCGCCTGTCTATACCTGCTGCTGCCCACACGAGCCACAGGCGAGCGGACGCGCGCAAGGCTCGCCTGTGGAGGGACACCGATGCTTTGTCGAAGCTGCCTGGTCAGCCATTGGCTGTTGTACCAGTGCCGATTTCTGATGATGTCCGCATGACAGCACCGCGCTGGCGATCATCGCGCCAGCAGTAGTGCGCGGTGATCGCCTGTGGGTGCTACCAACCTGAAGCGCAAGTCCGCGCTGGAGGTGCCTGTGCGCCCAATGGCGAATTCGACGCGGTGCTTTCGAGAAGCGGCAGGCCGAGCGCTGGCAAACGTAAAGCGATCTCGTGCGCGCGGACGTCTTATGCCACGAATGTTAAGCAAGTGCCTTTGGACGCTGTCGGCCAGGAGTGTGGCCTCGCCCTCGTTGGCAATCTGCCGCCCATGGGCCCTTTCGTGCTGCTGGGCTTCAACTTCGAGTGTGACTTATTGTGCGTAGCCGGCGTCGCTGCGCTTGCAGGACCTGCATCGTGCTCATTTGAGAAGTCGACCCGCGGGCGCAGTCACGATTGGCGCAGGCGGCCACGACATCTTCAATCCGGGGGAGTTGTGGGCATTCCTGCAATCTGCCAAAGGTTCTCTCGGTTTCCATGCACCGTGTCGGCCACACGTTGCCGTGCGATGTGCCTCTCCGCCCACCCCCCACGTCTATCCCGCCAGGCCTTCGCGAGTTCCAAGGAGCTCCAAGAGGCGCCCGAGATATTGGGGCCTCGGCCCCCTGAAGGGCGTGCACGTGGATGTCTCGCGGAGGAGAGCCCGAAAGCCAGGGGCCCGGACATGTCCGCCAATTGCCTCGCGGCACGTTGGCGGAGAAGAAGACATGATCGAGGAGGGCCGTTCCTCGTGGACAGGTGCGAGCGGCTTCGGACGCCCCGTGCCTTCAAGGCAAATTGTCCCTCGGCCCTTGTCGCGCGAGGAGCAGCATCAGCAAACGCCAGCAAGTCCAGCTACTCGCGGATTGCGAGCCCCGTCGCGCGTGTCATGTGGCTCAGGTAGTTTTGTGTGGCCCTTAGGTTGCGCGGCGCACTCGCAAGCGTCATTACCTCGGCTGGTAGGCTCGGCCTTGCCCAGCGTGAAGGCTTTGGCCGTTATGTCACCCACGAGAATGATTTGAAAGGCGTCCCCAATGTCATCCTCGTCCCCGTCCCCTTCCTCCACGCCCTCTTGTTCCCCTCTACCCCTCCCTCCCCCCCCTCCGCTGCTGTTGCCGCCCCCTCCTCCTGACCCCCCCCCCTTCCTTTCCCCCTCCCTCTACAATTACTCAATATGAATACTACTCTCCTCCTTCCCCTGATGACGGGTTGGGAGTGTTCGCCCCCCCCCCCGCGTACTGTTTTTTACACACAGGATTCCCCGGATTTGGGTTTTCGCCTGCATTGTTTTTCAAAATGCTGCTATTGCTGAGGCGCCGGCCTCATTTTCAGGCCCCGCTCGTTCCGAATCGTGCTCCCGCTGCAGCGCTGGCCTCATTTCCGTGCTTCCGCTCGTTCCGCATCGTGCTCCCGCTGCAGCGCTGGCCTCATTTCCGCGCTTCCGCTCGTTCCGAATCGTGCTCCCGCTGCAGCGCTGGCGTCATTTCCCGCGCCATGCCACGGCATGCAATGCAATGCTTGTTTGCGTTCCGCTGCGCGATGCCATGCCTTCAGCTGAAGTTGTGATATGCAATGCTCAAGTGCCACGTCGTGCTGTGCCATGCTACGCTTTGATCTTCAACGCCATGCTATGCAATGTTATGTTCGGGGCCGCTGTGCGATGCCATGCTTTGCCTTGCAAAGCTTTGTGATGCAATTCTTCACTACGCCACGCCACGCCACGCCATGCTGTGACATACTACGCTTTGCGGTGCTCTTCTACGCCATGCCACGCCGTGCTCTACAATGCATCGCGTACCCTTTCGGGATCATTGCCCTGCTCTACATTCGACTGTGCGAGTAGAGAGGGGATCTACGCCATGGTAAGGGATGGGAGGGAGGGGTAGGATGTCAGATATGACGCGAGCGCACCTAGCTTGCCCTCTCCCCCTCTCCTCCCTCCCCCTCCCCCTCCCCCTCCCTATGCCTCCCTCTCCCCCTCCCTCCCTCTACCCCTCCCTGTCCCCCCCCCCTCTCCCCCTTCCCCCCCTCTCCCCCTCCCCCTCCCTCGGCGCCCATGCTCGCCTCGCCCCTCCTCCCGCCCGCGACGGCGGCCTCCGACAGGGAGGCGGGCGCCCGGCCGTCGGCCCATGCGGGCGCGCTGGCACTTGGCCGCGCCGCCCGCCCGAGCCGCACGCGATGCCGTCGGCGCGTGGGTCGGGACGATCGACATGGGTACTCAGGGGTCAAGTCGGGCGTGTCCCTCTACAGGAGGAGTATTCAAACATAGGCAAGCAACAGTCTCAGCACACTTGTTTGTCCCTTTTTGAACCTCTGGGGCGTTTTTACAATTTTTTCTGAGCATCCATGATCTTTCGCCCAGAATCCCCCAGTAGGGGGACATGCCCGACTTAACTCTTGGGCAGGAGGAGCAGGAGAAAGGAGGAGGAGGAGGATGTGGAGGACGGGGGCGGCAACGATGACGAGAAGACGTAGCAGGAGCGGAGGGGGGGTGGATCATATTTTGCGTGCTGCCCCATCTCGTTCTCCCCCCCCCTGCCTATCCTCACGGAAAGGTTCCTCTCCGCTTGCTGCTCAGAGCGTTGGTGCCGAAGGTCCTGGCCTGTTGGGCCTTCGGGCCTCAACTCGCGGCGAACTCGTGGCCTTCGTCTAAATCACTTATTAATCGACCCCCCCTACAAAACCAGTACCCCCATCCAAATGTGACCTGATATTCTGGACCCCCCCTTCGACGGGGCGCCTTGATAAACTGGACCCCCTAAGCTCTCATCCAAAGAAGACGCCCCAATATACCAGACCCTCCGGTCACAAAAAAAGGCGTCTTAAAAAACCGAGCCCTGGGGACGATTAATAAGGGATCTGGGGTACTGATCAAGCAGTGGCGAAGCGTCCTGGCGTGCTACAGGCCTACCAAACAACGCTCTCAGAACTTGTTGTGGTTGCACGAAGTGTGCTTAGAGCATTGCTGGCTGGGACGGTCTTGTTTTGTCACATCGGGTTCATGCTCTGAGATCACTGTGCTTGTTCTTAGATGTTTGGGGGGCTCTAAGAACATGTCGTGGTAGGCCTGTAGGATTTCCGGGACGGTCGGTCCCTGCTCAAACTGAAAGAACGGGTACGATGCCCAACATCAGTTCCTGTTCATTTTGAACCGGAGTCGCTGTCCGCGCCGCCGCGGGCGCTGTTCGCTGAAGACGTAAACGCCGCCTGCCCAACAGCGACCGCCGTCGGTTTTGGGGCAACCTTTGTTGTTGGGCATTGTGCCCATGTGTTCCGTACCCATGTCGGGCGTCCCAAGTGGTGTGCCTCCCGCTCCGGCCCCTCCCCTCCCCCGAGACCCGTCTTTGCCAGGGCTCCTCACGCCGGACCTTCGGGGAGCTCCCTCCGTCCTCGGAGTGGCCGTCGCCTCTTGTCGCCTCTACGCGGGCTCGATGTGGACTCGGCGCGCCGTTTGGCGTGGCTTCGGCGCGGATTCGCGCGACGGGACGGACGAGGCCCCCCGAGGCTGCAGCACGATGCTCCCGCGGGCCAGCTGGCCCCGACTTGCCCCGGCTCGGCTCCGGCAGCTCCGGCGGGCCGCGCGCGGCGCGGCCCTCGTGCCCCATGCGCCCCCTCCGCGCGAGGTTGCCGCGCTCAGCGGCGCTCCTGCCGCGGCATGAGCCGCGCGGGGGAGGCGCGCGCGGCGCGCCCCCTAGCGGGAGGTGGCTCCGGCCCCGGAGTGGCCCAGGGGAGGTCCACGGTGGGCCTCCACAGAGCGCCCCGCGCGAGGCCGAGGGAGGCCCCCCTCCCCCTCCCCCTCCCCCTCCCCCTTCCCCTGTCCCTCCTCCTCCTCCTCCTCCTCCGCCTCCTCCTCCTCCCGGCCTGCGGGGGGGGCGGGGATAGCTCCCGCGGCAGCCCTCGACCTCCCTCCTACCCCCCCCGTGTCCTCCTCCCCTCCTGCCTGTTGAGTTGAGGACGGCGGACTGCCATTCCCACCACTCGACGACGACGACCCCCCCGCCCCTTCCACCCCCTCCACCCCCGTCCCCCCCCCCAGCCGCCCGAACATCTTATAGTCGCAGCTCCAGCGGACGCACAGCGCGCTCTGGGCCAGCTGCCCGAGCGCACGTTTCTCTCGAATAGATCGTGGGCCTGCCGCACGCTCTTCTCGTGTCGCTGTGCGTGGGCACGGCGGCCGCGGTTCGCGCGAAGAGCAGCAAAAGAAGCACCGTAGGTGCACCGCGGGCTCAGACTCCGAGCGCTGCCCGTCGGGGGCGGCGGGTGGAGGAGGGGCAGGGATGAGGGAGCAAGAGCAAGAGCAG